CATATTCATATTAGTGAGCAGCCAGCTCTCGTCTGATGTCAGTCTTTAAATTATTAAATTATGTCAATGATTGCGGGGGTACGGGGTAAAAGCACACACACATCATGCATCACAACCTTGCCGTGCCTGAAGTATCTGACCACATGGAAGAGGAGAGGAATTGATATGCCCTGTTTGGCCCTACCACACATACATCACTCTGAGTATACGTTGGTAATTTAGAATGCAGGCAGTATTTCTACATTTTTTTAGAAGAGCCTATGAAGTACTTTACAGTCACTCAGTCATTATGCAGGTGTTGCTTTTAGATTAAGCTTTTTGCACCCCTCGTGCTGCCAAAACAGTTCTGATGCATCAAGGTAGCGACTCCACAAGACCACTGCTTGTGTCCTGTGTTATCTGGCACCAGGACATTAGCAGCATATCCTTTAAATCCTGCAAGTTGGGATGTGGGGCCTTGATGGATCTGTTTTGTTGTTCCAGTACGTCCCACAGAGGCTCAATCAGATTAAGATCTGGGGGATTTGGAGGTCAAGGCAACACCTTGAACACTTTGAAAAAATGTTCAGGAACGGTTTAAGGAACATGACAGTGTGGCAGGGTGCATGATCCCACTGAAAGAGGCCACTGCTATTAGGGAAAATCAATGGCATGAAGGAGTGTATGTGGTCTGCAACAATCCCTAGCTAGGCATTATGCGTCAAAGTAAAATTCACAGGAATACCAGGGTCTCCCAGCAGATGATTGCCAAGAACATTACATTGCCTCCGCCGGCGTGCCTTCTTCCCATAGTGCATCCTGCTCCCATTTCTTCCATATGCAGCAAACTGTGATGCACTGTGTGCTCTGACACCTTTCTCTCACACCCAACATTAAGCTTTTCAGGTGCCATTATAACAATATAATCCATGCTATTCACTTCACCTGTCAGCAGTGTTAATATGGTTTCTGATCATTATATTAGTATCAGTTAAATATATATATCTGCCTTTTATAATATGTAATACTATCCTTTCTGTTGATATAGCATTTATTTTATATGATATTAAGAACCAAGTTGGATGGGTTGGCAGCTCCGATATACGAGAGTAGAAGGATAGGGTAGACTGGAGCAAGACCAATAGTTTTGCCAGCTATGGACCCTCCATGTGGTAGGTAAAAATCTGTTAATGACTGGGAGCCAGAAAGAAGAGTGATAAAATAAATCTACTTCAGGATAAATGGTGAAAAAGAAGGGGATGTCTGGTAAAGAAATAGAGAGGAAGGGGCTGTAAGTGAGTGACAGAGAAAAACTAGAGACGGCAAGAAAAAGATATGAGGAAATATAATTGGTTTGTGTTCTGTTATTGTCCTTGAGTTCTGAATGCAAAGGTTTTACTGCACTCTCTGGCCCCAAAGGGTCATCATAGATTATTGGTTGAATATCTTTCAATTCAGACCTGTGACAAGATGTATAATTTTCAGCATTTTGCTCAAGTGTCTGTATTGATTTATTTTTTGTTTCTTAAGCTTCTGCCTTTTCGGAAAGATATTTGGGATTACGTACCCTCGATAATAGAGCATACGAGGTATGTATACATGTTAATGATACTTATATCAAACGCATAATAGACGTAGCTAGTTTTTCTTTCATATGAAAACTTTTTATGCAGTTAAAGGAGAACTGACACTTCTCAGGACATTACACCATAAAGACTGAAAGATTGATGTATTATGAATTAACCTTTCTTTTCAAATCATACACCATTTTCTTTGACATTAATATTAAAGAATAATTGAGGGATATCACAATCCACTTCAGTCCTGGCACAGCCAGGGCACCGAATGCAATGAATAGGAAACCAGAAACATTGTTTCCATTTACAATGGCAGAAAACAAAAATTATAATGACGATTGACAGCGAGGCAGGATGGAGACGGCCAGTTCCATGACAGAGATATACACAGCAGCTTAGATTAAAACATTTCATTTTATTTTTCAGACCTCACAAATACATTAATAAAGTTGGAGATAAGTAAACATAACAATAAAAATCCTGTGAAGTGACTGTCCTCCTTTAAGAGGATGTGTAATTTTTTTTCTTAGAGGTATGTTACATGGATTAGCTCATATAGGATAGTCCACAGTTAAAGGCACATTTAAAGTCATTATATTTCAGTAAATGTAATAAAGTTTAAGTGAAAATTTTGTGACAGTTGTCCATTAAGCATGATAAATATTGGGATTCTGTTGAATCAGTAAATCAATGTGAAGACGTGAAGATTTTAATTAGCAAGTTCAGTGTTTCCCTAACAGATTATTTCTGAGGGTTTTTGTTTTTTTCCTTAAAATGTCAACCTCCTCTGATATTTTCCAATTAAAACATAAGATCGGGAATATCATAGCCAGCCGCCCAGCCTCTATTCATTTATTAAGAGGCTTTTTTTCCCCCAAACCCAGTTGGATGCTTTCATAATTTTTCAGAGACTCGGTCATATCCTTTGTTCCATTCAAGTAACAAAACCCATATGATCTTAATGTAGCTTATCTGTCGTTTCTGTAAAGCCAATTTTCCATGCCTTTGCTGAAGATACTCTCTTTAATCTGTGGTTCCGCAGTTTTCTAGATTAGAACATCGAGTGTCCTTATTGAAAACAGAAAAATTTTTGATTATCCATGCAACTGCAGATGGTGAGTAACGCTTTATTAATCCTTAATCTATTTCATAATGATAAGAACCTATTAGGCAGATGCTCCACAGTGAACAGTCAGAAAATGTGTTTTAATTAATTTGTCCTTTTTACTGATACTGATCTTATTTTACAGAAAAAGTCCATTTCCAGCACACAGCCGACCTCATAACGCATTTAGTGAAAGCTAGAGCTAATTATTCATTACTGGTAAGTGTGTATTTCTCTGAGTGTAGAGATCCATTATTGAGATGTCAGTGACTTGCCTATGACCATATTTCGAGGTACAGACACACATGTCCGAAATATGCAAACACAAAATAAAATACTCTTCTCTATCAGGGGATAGCTTATTTCTACTATTATGTACTATTACTTTTCTTCCAAGAATTTTCTAAATCTGTTGGCAAATTCTATTGATAAGGGTGTGAATTTTCAGGATTCGCCCCACAGATCCAGCGAGGTAAAACGTTTCTACTTAGGTATCAGATATGTGTACCAAGGACTCAACATAAATTTCACCTCTCAGCCATCAATACTATATATCCACATGTAAAGGTAGACTCTAAGCACCAAAACAACTTTAGCTTAATAAACAGTTTTGGTGTGTAGATCATGCCCCTGCAGTTTCCCTGTTGAATTCTCTGCTATTTAGAAGTTAAATCAATTTTGTTTCTGTTTATGCAGCTATAGCCACACCTCCCATGGCTGTAACTGACACAGCCTGCATGAAAATAAAATGGTTTAATTTTCAATCAGTTGTGACAGTAGTGTGTGTTTACTTCAGAAGTTTGTTTGTTTTTTTATCTTCTGCTCTGTGGTTTTAACTCTAATCACACACATGAGTATCCTGCAAACTCTGACCGGTCATTGACAAAGCATGAGATAAGAAATTCTACGTTAAACAGCATGTGCAATAAAGAAAGTTTAAATATTAGATCTCTCTTTACAAGTAATGTGTTGGGAGACGGTGTACATCACATGCACAGGAGGTGTAACTAGGGCTGCATAAACAAAGTGATTTAACTAAACGCTACCTAAATGGCAGAATTGAGTAGTAAGACTGCAGGGCCATGATCTATAAAACAAAAACAATTCATCAAGCTAAAGTTGGTGCTTATAGGGTTCCACACATTGATTTAATTACAGCAATCAAGATTTATCGATCATCTATTTGCTCTTTGCAGTATAAATCAAACTCGCCATCCCATATAATAATGTACATTTTAGAATTAAGGAAGGATTTACTGGATCCTTGACCAACAAGTGTTTAAGATAGATCATTCTGTTCTACTTGCTTCTTTGGGTGCCCTGTCTGTTTTTTTATTCATACTATTTTTGTTGATCAGCATAAAGGACGATTAAGTCCTTGAGTAGCAGTTTTCTATCGTGACATTTGTCTACGTCTGACGATGAAGGTAAAGATTTACTACCCTAATGCCTTCCGAAATGTCATTCACTTCTCTAAATACTTGAGCTGTAGCAACTGAGTTAACAAGAGCTTCTGGCAATAGTGTTTTTGTTTATTTTATTGGTTCAGGAAAAACTACCAAGTCTTATCTTTCTTTGCAGATATATCCAGATGAAAATCACTATATGAGGAATGTTCAAGTTGCCCACCACTTACATAAATCCATTGTGGATTTCTTTGAGGAATGCTTCAGAATTCAAGATAAACCACCCATAGTAATCATCGAAGATGAAGAGGAGGAAGATTAACTTTTATTCGTGCCAAGCACAAACCAATTCCTACATAACAATATGCAACTGAATCGTTTTCCTAGGAAAAAAAGAGATGTTACGTTTAGCATGTACAGTGCTCTCGATGGCTTATCTGACCGGACCTCTTCCACGATGGAAGTACACTAAGCATTGTGACTTCGGCATTAACCGGTGTCTGAAATACATTGCTTTTTGTCATCACTAAGAGATTGATGTAGATAAAAAGAAAAAAAAAAAGACAAATCACTAAAATTCTAAAGGAGTCAGACTTTTTTTTTTTTCCTTAGACTCCACGAGGACTTCTTCAAGGGCAAGATGACCTCTAAACATTCATCAAAAACAAGCAGTAGTATTGAGACCCAACATTCTTGCAGCATTAACTTAACATTACGTTTGTGTCTGATGAAACATGGGGGAGGGAAAAAAATGATTATAGCACAATTATTTTCTGAGTACTAATTTACCATTTGCTTGCTCTTTATCACATCTTAAAATAAAAATGCCAAACTTTAGGGCAGCGTTGGAGAACACATGATATTAATTATACTAAAACAATGTATTTCGTTATGTAATTATTTCATTATTTTTTTTTATTCCAGTTTTTACTGGCTCTTTATTTTATTCTAATCCATGGCTTTACTTTGCAGGTTGATTTAGGATTTATATGAGGGAAATTTGATACAATGCTCTTGCAGACAGCATTCAAAATGTGCTAATTTAACCCTATCAGCCCCAGGAGAGTAAAGAACGCTATGAGTTGTTTGTCTCTATGACACCTCCAGCATTGAAAGGCAAAATGCAACACGTTCTGGTTAAATTATGAGTTAGCTCTATGACATGTCAGTTTTGGAGTCTGTTCAAAAGATATATGAAAAGACCATGGAACTCCAGGTTGTATTAAACAGTTTAACCAGTGTTCCCTCTAAGTACTTTCGGTGAGTTAAATCAGTTACCTTTATAAAGCCAAAATCTTCTAGTTTACATAGAAACACAAGTATCTGCATATAAACTGTAAAACATGGTTACTGTACAGATGAATTCTTAAATTCTTTCAGTGCCGGTCCGCTTCAAGAAAGTGGTTAGATAAGTCATTTGAACAGCTCCATCAAGATATACTTTATTGGTGCAAGGGAGTGTTTCTAAATTCAGTTTACTCTAAAATTGAGCAGCTTTGCTTTAAAAAAAAATGAATTTTTTTAAAAAAAATGATGTGTGTTCCAACAGGCAGTGCCTCTATCTATAGCTGTATGTACTACGGCCACCTCATCAGAATGTAGCAAAACACCTTTTGTATTTAACAAAATTGTATATAAGTATTTGGAGTATGTCATCGGAAACTGGGACGTCATTATTTTTAATAGGAGTAGCCAATATAATACAAAGGAGCTTATTGACTACATAGTGAATTCAGGTAACCTAAACAACGGAATATCAAAAAATAGGTTAAAAAAGGTTAAAGAGAATTTTTTTTTGTGATTTTGTCCCCCAAACTCAGCTATTTTGTAATTTTGTTTTTAAGTAATTAGAGTTTTTGTTTATCCACTTTCTTGGGTAACATTTGTTACTGAGCCCTTTAGATTGAGTGAATCATTGGGCAGCATTGAATAACCAGCAGTTTGATCAGTGTGTATAACTGCTGAATACTCCAGTTGAGGTTTTGGAAGCCAACCTGTTCCTTGTTCTGTTGTTGAGCCTATAACTGGCTAATAATCCCAGGAGTTTGAAGAGCTATAGTTTGGGTATCCCTGATTTAGTCTGTGAGCAGTTTGCTTAACATATTCAAGTATTACTTTTTCATAGACTGTGAATCCTATGACTCCTTAAAGGGTAATATAATGGAAAAACAAAGACGTTTCGTGTTTTGTACTTTTTAATGTGTTGTAGTGTGTGTTTAAAAATAAGTGACATGTTTATTATATTTCATGCAAAGTTCATCAAATACAAATTAACATGTTACATATCAGAACATAAATAGTTATCCACATAAATATATAGTAAATTACTATGTAAATACACAAAATATTACAAAAGGCTTATTAAGCCACTGGCTAACACGTATCCAAACAATTCCAGGTGGAATCTGAAATATTAAGCCGTGGCACTTGTGAGTCTTGACCATTTTCAATTTAGACAGATTAACATCAACTAATAGATAATCCATTTTGTCCCGTAAAGCGGACATTCTCTTACGTACATCAAACAGCATTTGGCCTTTGAATTTTCCAGTCTGTTGTTCTTGACCCCACACTTGGAAACCAACTGACTTCTAACATTTTTACAACTTTTCAGTAAAAGTAAAGCTTGTTCTCAAAACACAAAGAGGTGCTTAGCAATATTGAAGTTTTGAACAACGCTTTTATTAATAAGAACATTTTGTAAGCTAGAAGCTCTATCAACAGTGCAGTGCTGTGCGTAATCAAATTTTTAGGCTTTCTAAGATTTATTATATTACGTATGAAATATTATTATATATAAATATTACTGCATTGGTTTTACTTTGTGCTATTAAGTGAAGAACAAGTGTTAGCCACTGGAAGAAAAATACCCTGCAAAGATTTTCACTCAATCCAAGACCTGCCTCAGTTAAAAAGGTACTTTTTTTATTAAAAAATGTATCTGATTTACTCTATAAGCCTGCTCTTTCTGCTCTTCTCTCCAAACCTTTAGTGTATCATTTTCTACTCCAAAAATATCGCTATACATGATATCATTACTTGTGGGAGCTATAGTTTAGTTGTAGCTTTGCACAAATATAACCTGACACTTTTATACTTCCCAATTTTAAGAACAGGGGTCGATTCAGGATGGGTTTTGGGGGCGTGCCACAATACTAAAAGTGTCATTGGCAATGCACATGCCCAAAATGAGCTGGTCCGCCTGGAAAAAAGTACAGCCTTCCTGGAAACAGGGTGTGTCATGCCAGTTGACAGTCTTCTGGAAAGCCCCAAGCGGTACTTCCTAAATTGGGACAGGTAGAAGGCCTACAATTTAACTACAACTTCAATCTGCCCCTGCTGTTCCCATAATGCAGTGTCATGAACCACTTCCTGGTCTAGACAAAAGCTCACTGCACAAGCTAAAAAAAATGGAGATATGCAGTATTGTAGTACATCTATAATTTTAGCATATATTTTTCATATAAAGCCTCCAAAAAAAGTGTTAAAAAAGCACGCTACTATGGTGTGTCACTGTTACAAATTTTCAGTTTGTAAAAGAGTGTGCTATAATGCCCTCATGTCTCATCTTACCATAGTAAAGAGAGAAAGAGAGAGATTAGTATATCTTTGTGAGGGCTGGCAAGATAAGATTTTTCTTTTTTATACTTAGTTACGCCAAGAATTTACAAATACATTCATTGGCATGTGTGTGATAAGAATGTCACATTAACACTGTTTTACTGTTCATTTGGCTATATGTGGTGTCAGTATCTTTTTAATCTTGGCCCTTTAAGTGTATGTTGAAAAACACAGAATAAAATGTAATACGAGCCTTGTGTAAACTGTGTTACTGTAACACTGATAAAGTGACAAATTTGAAATCCGGTCCTAAAAAAAAAGCTTGCCTGCTTAGATACCGAAGAATTCAGAAAGCTTATTTTGTTTGTTGCTTGACACATGTTGATAAACGTATTTCTTTTGTTTTGCCATTACATTGGCAAATCTAGGCCTGATTGGATAGAGAGTATACATAATGCAATGTCTTTTAAGTTGATTGCGTGTTTACATGACCCGTGAGCTGCTAAATTTGGAACTGAAGCAAAAATTACACCAGAACAGAAGTCTATCTCTGCTGCAAATTGACTAAATTTTCTGCCGTCAAGAGAGATTTTTCACCACAAACTGAGTAATTGTGAACTCTAATAAATTTAAACAGCCAATATGGTTCCAGCTTGGTTTTACTTCAAGCGTTAATCTTAATTAAACATCCTGACATGCTAACAGAGACAGCTGGCCAGCACGGCCAATCAAGACAAAATAAACCTACGTTAAAACAGTTTAATGCGAGATTGCGGTAACAGGTCAGATTGGCTCACGTTATATCTAGGAATGGAATTGCTAAACCACCCTTTATACACAAGTCAAACATATTGACTTTAGTAAGTGTGTGAGGTGAATACAATTCCCAGAGTTTTGCTGCCTGAGAATGATGAGTGTTGTAGACCAACTGGAGTGATGAAGGCTGTTATCCATGCAAGTCAACCTCAAACGCTGCCAGATTTATGATTTCTTAGACATATATTACTTCTTCAGTCTGATGAACAGAGCATGAAAAGTTCTTACCCAGGGTATGTTGCATGTGTATCTAATTAGATGACAGTCTAAGCACTGTGAGCACATTGCAGTATTGGTGTTTAGAGAGCATTGAGCCCATTCTCATTTCTGAGAGTAGCTTATAGCAACAACAATTTGTAAAAGATCATTCGGCTATATTCCAGAAAATGTCAAACATCCAGCAGGAACATTTTAGGGTTGCCTTGTGCCAATTTTCTCCACTTTATAAATGCAGTCCAATTCTCCATGATTTTCTCAATGTGATTTCTTTTTTTTTTTTTTTTAACTGTTGTGAAGGGTGAACTATATACCTCGTAAACAGAAGCTTGTAGGATAAAATCAGTCCCCTCATAGACCAGAATAAGACCTCTGTATTTATATACAAATCATTGGTACCATACTTACAAATGCTGTGCATACTCTTACAGTCAGGGTTAATCACTAAAACAGAACATTTGGAAAATTGTAAAGGGAATTGCAACATTCACACTAACATATGAACTGTTAAAATAGAAATTGTAATTTTTTTTTTCTCAAATTCGAAATTTGGGGTGTAAAATGTGCCACTTCCTTGTCAATTCTGGTTCAGAGAATACACTCCACAGCAGTTTGTGAAACCAAAACATAGTTAGTTTTTTTTCCTGTTCCCTTTAACTTTTCTGCAGACGAAAAACATTTTTCTAAGCTTAAAGCTTAAGTTGTTTTCGTAAAAAAAATATATATATATATATACAAAACTCACATTAAAGGTGAAACATATTTTTTCTGGAAACTACACAATTGAATAAAACATTTAAAAGTTTTACTGATAACTTTTGTTAAACTTTATTTCGTGTGATGCGCTATTTTCTTTTGAATATACATTACATTAGATATTTAACAAATGACAGCAAAATCGAGTCTAGTCCTGGCACAGCCAGGGCATACAATGCATTAGAGGAGAAACATTGTGTCTATTTTCCTCCTTTCTCTATGCTGACTACCAGATGCAAAGGGCGGAGTTTCTAAAAATTATTGACAGGGAGTTAAGATGGAGGAGTCCAGTCGCAGGATAAAGCTAAATATAGTGCTGTGGATTTCTGCATTAAATTTTATTTAACAGATAAAGATGAGTAAACATAATATTACAAATCCTGGGAATTCCCCATCAAAAAAGGTTTATTTCACTAAGTACATGTGTTTGTTTCTTTTCAAGGCAGTTTGTTAATAAACCGTTAGATAACGCTATTTCATAACGCTATTTCATAACGCTATTTCATTAATGATGTTTTTTCCAGATGTACTCATTGGTTATTAAATAAACCTGTCTTTTAATTATTTAAACATAGAATGAAAGAGAATACTTCTGTTTGAAAATGCACAAATACACAAAACCTTTTTGATTAGAACTGCCCGTTACTCAATAAAAGCCGTCCCCGATTGTCCCTTGTCTCACTTCTTACCATATTAGTTCTTCGTGATTTTAGGTGGTGACTCTAGAAGGGCTAACCTTGTAGAAGTTATTTGTTACCAGTCAATGTATTCATCAAAAAGGAATCTCATGGATCAGTCTTGATTAATGGAAACCTAGCAATAGGAATAAAAATGTGTATTCCTTACGATATGGTGTCCTAGTCACCGTTTCGGTGACTGTACCCCGCTGACAGGGTTAAAAATATGAGTTAATTTAACTTTTCTCCATCACATTGCTATTCTTATGTGTGACGATTTGCCTCTTTGGCTGAAATCATCAAGAACAATGATCTCAGCCAATCAAATGCTTCCCTATAGGAAAGCATTCTGGGCTTAGTGCGCATGCACATAAAAACACTATGGTGTGCCAATCAGGTGGTCTCTATGATTGAAATATTTCGCAGAACTGCCTCTAGTGGCTAACAGCAGATTAACCCTGCAATCAAAACATTGAAATTCCTGCAGAACGGCGATGTGTTCAGATGCATGGTTTAAATTTAGATAAGGGTGCCCATAGAGTCCCTTTAATCAATACCATTTCCCTCTTCTGCATTTGAATACTGCAGTCAAGCATGTTTTTATATATATGTGGATCTGGTAACCATAACCCCCTCCCATAAAAATGCAAGGTGTCTATATAGTTACAACATGGGTTTCACAGACTTCATTCACAGTCTGATCATATGTAAAAGACAAATATTACCTGAATTTGCGAATAGTGAAAGCAAACGTCGGTAGCAATGACCCCAAAAGAAGCAGTATTTATAACACAAAATGTAGTAATTTTCTGCAGTACGAACTTGGAGATATTTTTTCTACCTTTTCATTTAGGGGCCGACTGTCAATAGAAGCGTGAGCATTTATTTTGATTATCACGGTATCCCTCCATGCCATTGCTATAAGGTGTTTGTCTATTCAACATTTAGACATGAAGTATACATTTTCCTGTGATAATGATATTTCATTTAAAAACCAAATACACGCTTCCGTGGATTAGATTCCAAAATCCTTTGTATCATGAAAATAATATTTGCGTATACAATCCACGTGGGTTTTCGGTCCGCAAGATGCCCCACTTCCATGTGAATAGCACTAGCTTTCTGCTAGGCTGGTCTTAATTCATATATTGATAATATTACGACCAAATGTACAGCCACCAATAATGTTGTATATAAGAATAAGAATTGTAAATAAGGAATGTAAGTCATTGATTTGTGAGAAACCCCAAATGCTTTCAAGTATTGTGTTCCGCATGCCAACAGCATTTATTTGCTAATCAGAAATGTTAGCTTTAAATTAAATTATAAAAATATAAATAGCTTCAGCATAAATCATTTGATCCTTTTTGACAGCTTGAATGTTCTTCCAGCAGCTGGTTTCTACAATTTTTACTTGGTATTGTTAGTAAATACACTAAATCCAGTCAATAATGTGTTAATGTTGTACCTCCCTATGTTGCTTTTTAATTTTTTAAATTTTTTTAATCTCCAAGCTTTGGTTGTTTGGTGTTGTATCTAATCTAGATCCCCTCGATCAACAGATTATGTGTAAGACATGTTAAATACAGTGGCAAGTTACACTGCATTGGAGAAGATGGAATTTAAACAAATTATATTAAAAATAATAATAATCAAGAAAATGATGCCAAATGAAAATGAGCAATTTTGACATTTTACTATATCATTAGGATAAGAGTATAAAATTACTTGGTATGGTCAATAAAATTGTAAAATTTTGCTTTGTCCAGAGTTTTGTAGACAGAACGTTAGGATGTGGCATGGTACTGTTTTGTCATCCATGAAATAAAACATTATTTTATCATGTTTGCGGTTGTTTTTGGTGTGAATTGGTATTTAATTTAATGGAACTTATTATTATTATTATATATTTTTTAATTATATATATTGGTTTTTTTTGTGTTTTTTTTTTTTTTTTTTTAATATTTCCCTTTGTATTTGGCTGAGCAGTTATGTTGGGTCTGACTCTATTGTTATCTAACCACCTACTGCTCACTCTAACTTTCCCGCTGCTGTGACTGCTCGGTGTGAAACCGCAGCAGTAGGCGGGTTGGGTTGAGCAGCGGTTCGTCAGATAAAAGAAGAGTCTGACCCAACATGGCCACTCAGCCAGATAAAGTTACACATTTTCTCAAAAAAAAAAAAAATAATATATATATCATAAATATAAAATATCACGTTTCATTAAATGTAATAAACTTTTCAAAAAAATTAATAAAAAAAGTCTCTCAAACATATGCCTACACACACACACATCACTCAGACATAGGTAGGGGGCACAAATACAGTACCTGTCTCAGTGTGCCCCGTGTTCTTGCTACATCTCCATCCAGTGGGTAGGCAGGTAAATCAAGGTAAGAGTCAACATTAATATTAATATGTCCTCCTGTGTGCATGTTGGATAATAGGAAATACTGGTGGGTTTCAAACTGAAGGTTTACATGAAGGGCTTCAGTTCCTAAAAACTCCATGCATCATAATGTAGTTAATTCTGTTCATTTACCGTAATACTCTCTGAAAAAAAGTCTATAATGTGAAAAAACCACTGGTAACATCACATAATATTCCATTCATGATCACTGCAAAGATCAGCGTATTTGATGATGGAGAATTGTGTGTGTGTTTATGCAGCCATTGTAAAGCGTATCTGGTATAACAGCTAAATTAGTTCGCAAAATGGGATTGTGTCTTCTTTTCGGAGCTCAAAAACAAAGGTGGCTTCTTTAGTTAACTGCTATTTCAGCAAGTCGTAGCTAAATTGATTAATTTAACTATTTTTCCTTCCATTATGGTTAAGCCTGAAGGCTTCTCTGACAACCAGTCCCTCTAGTGGCACTACTAAGAAATTACACCCATTCCAGTTATAATAGTTTTTTAATCATAGTAAATAAAAATTGTTTCATTACATCTGCATAAGAAAATGTAATTAAAAAGCCAATTACATGTAATTTTCTAGCTCTTTTGTTGAAATAATTTAAATGCTATTCTTTTTATTTCTCGAGTGTCATTATATTCCACTGCTCTGTACGATGGGTAAATGGAGCTTGCATATAAATAATGGAAAGTGTGTGTCACATTGTCTCTGCTTGATTGAGCTTATAGTCTAGAGAAAGCAGAGTGTAGTTATATAAAAAATAAAATGCATTGTACCCACAACACGTTGTACAATTTATGTGCAATATATGACTGTATCGTTAGTGTAACAAGGCATCATAGGGATTTGAGTAGGATGTGGTAGATTGATATGGGGATAGGAATATATCATTAAATATACACACTCTAAATGAGTTAGACAATGAGAAAAGTTTGACAATTGCAGTTTAGAAATTACTGCAAAATTGGGAAAAGTCATATAGGATAAAATAGGACATTCCGACATTGCATACGTTTAGCAAGCTCTAGAAAGGGTCTGTGAAAGATAGCTGGCTAATGAAAGTTGGGGCATAGTCTGGAGTATGGAGAAATTTATAGGCGAGAACCAGAATTTAAAATTGAATTCCTGTATACAGTATTTATTTTAAAAACCTGCAAAACATCTTGACATGCATGACACACGACTGTGAAAGAAAGGTGGGAGACTATTAGTTTATGAACAAGATTTTTGATTGGGTACAAACTAGATTGATCAAGGCCCTTCAATCATCAGACCTCTTAATAAACACACTTGGATCATCTTGGAGGAAAAAGTCACAGTTTTATTTGTGTGTGAGAAAGACCTAAGCCAGCCTATAAAAAATATATCAACCTCTTGGCAAAAGGTAAACCGCCACACTGCCAGTCTTACAGAGAAAAGAGCCAGGACATGCCATTAGGAAAGACTTCAATCACACAATCAGGAGGGGCTACATTCCCATATACATAAGAATAGTACAAAGGGATCCGGACATGGGAAGTCTAATACACAGTGTTATTAGGAATCCAGAAATGTATCCCATTACATGACAGTGTATCTAATAAACCTGTGTATTAAACATCACATGTGACAGATTCCTGAGTACTTTATTTGCTTTATTTGGGGTTCAAAATATTACCATGTTGGCAAGGATTTTGAACCCCAGCTGTAACAAAAAGAGGAGAAGAACAGTTACAGAGAGATCCGCCGACCAACAAAAACACCACATTTCATCCAGACATCTCTACTTTGCTGAATGGAGGTTGGCGGAACGTTCTCGCAGCAGCCAGTCCTAGCAAGGTCCAAATGAAAAAGAGGAGCAGAAATCCTCACTCGCACATAACATAAAGTGAAAGTAGTAGCCCACCATTTCCTTAATTAGTTTATGGCACCACTGGCCGTGTTGCTAGGCAATGCAAAAATGGAGAAGAAAAAAAAATATGTTAAACAAACAAACTCAGCCCCAAATCCCTGTGAAATATGGCTGGACAAATAACCATGGAATGGATCAACAGCCCACAGTCATAGCACTAATATATGTGCTAAGCTTTCTTTCTGGATAGCAATGAAGACCATATGTTGGGAAGCACCAAAATAATTACATCTGAAGCCATAAGGATTGTGTAAGCTGTAGGTGGCATGGTCTGGAATTAAGTTTGTAGAAATAAGAGAAAAGTAGAGTGACACAGTGCAGGGAGAGAGGGGTAAGAAACCTAAAAATGTGAGAGTGAGAACTCTGTAGCTGGAAGTAATAAGTGTCCAAATTGTAAGATTTGTGAAGATTGAAAAAGTGTTGAAATAAGGGGCAAGCTGAATCATCATCGGGGTTCAAAAATCTGGTAAGATCAGAAAGACCTTCCCATGGCTTTTTAGACTGTGTTATATATGCAAACTACAAATACAAACGATTTGTTACGGAAGTTCTTCATTCACAAAGTGCATAGTCAGGGTTGGGATTCATTGAGTGGATTTCGTAATAAAGCACTATCTTTCCTTGGTTTTGGCATTTTATTTCTCATTCTACATAGCGTTTAGTGTGCAATCCATGTCTGGCGTGTAGTGTGTTTCTGGGGGGAATATAAAATGTACGAAATTCTAAATTGAATACTCAAAACAAATTATCCAGCCCAGCTACTGTCCCTGCGTTTTAACCCCTTAAGGACACATGACATGTGTGACATGTCATGATTCCCTTTTATTCCAGAAGTTTGGTCCTTAAGGGGTTAATTCATTTTGATAACTAAAAATGGCAATGTGCAGGACTGTACCAAGCAATGGCTTGCTAATGTCCAAGATTAGGCTTTGTAAAAGGTTATCACAAGGAGCTCCAGTTGCTTGCGACCATCTTGGTCAGCTGCCAGGCCCCACCCCCTGTTTATTATTATTATCTTTGAGCAATTTAATGATGACAGGTCTTTTTTGGCCAATGTGGATCCTCATTAATAATCGGGTTTGAATTCAATGATGAGCAATGCAGAGTATGTGCCAATCACTCGACTATAGTTTATATAATTATCATATAGTAAATGTGCAGTTTAACACTTTTTAGGAATAAACTGCATGTTGTTACATTGTCTTCTGTTTTATAATAATTCCCTTAAGAAATGATTTCCCTGAAGAAATGCTATTTTGTTTGGTTTTGCTATACTTTGACTTGAAAGCTGTGTATAGTGTCTTTACATAGATATTTGTATATATATTTTCTGTCTCTGGTCAGAGTTGGTTTGATGTTGAGTTTAAACTAATGGTATAGGAGTTTTTATTTCTTTAAAGTCAGAGGGGGTTTTTGTATCAGTTTGTGATGCATTTGTTGGAGCATCTAAGGTTAGAAAATAATCCCAAAATTACATAACTGTATTCAGCTTCACGGAGTAAGGTTTGCCGTGTTTTGCATCACGATTTCAAACTTTCTTTGTGTTTACTTTAAATGTCTAATTGCACATTTCTCAATGCCTTGCCCCGTCTGTACCCCATGATTTTTGTTTTACCAAAGCTTAACAATAACCTAGAGTTCAGCTCACACCCAAGTTCCTCACAATCATTCCCACTCCTTCTCTGCCAATACTTTCATCCTGTTCTGTGACGCAGTTCAATCATCAGCTTCTCGCCGTTACAGTTTGACTACCGGCCAATCCAATTTCATGGAGGGGAGGAAGAATATTATAACAATAATTACTGTAAACATACCTCCCAACAGTCCAGGATTCAGTAGGAAAGTTCTGGTTTCAGAATCGTGTTCTGCTGTCCTGAGCTTTGTCCCAAATCATTGCTATTAGGACACTGAACCCAAGACCATCGAGTGTTTCGGATATGTTCCGTACTTTGTGTACACTGAGTGTGACTGGCCAGAGCGGATATCCAACTGATATACAACCACACAGAAGTATTTGAATCCATCATGCAAATGTAGATTATTACAAGTCTCATTAAGACTTGTACAAGGCGAAATACTTCTGCTCTGCCAAATGTTTTTTTTCTGAAGAGAGAAATGTTTTTGGGACACTCGAAATTCAGTCGGATATCAGTTCAGCCAAATGTTGATTCTAGATTCGGACCCGAAGAACAAAACAAGAACAAAACAAAAATGCGTGAAAATGGACCAATTAGTATTCTGCAAAATATATATATATATATATATATTACTGTATTATGTAGGAGGCGGCAGAGCATTTAATCTCAAAATCAATCTCAGTTCTGAGGAGCTCTGGTCAGAGACAGCAAATATTACTCTAAAACTGCGGTTCACTTTGCCCAGTTTTGGACAAACACTACTTAACTCACTGGTGATACTATGCAGAAAAAGTCACAGAAGAAAATTACTTTAACTTTTGATATCAGGGACATGTTAGTCTAGGTTCATAGGCCCGCTTTATCA